GCAAGATCTTGTGGGACATGACTTTTATGAGATTAAGCTGGTATTAGTCTCATGGAGCAGGTTCTTACACAGGTGTGGGGTGGGTTGTAACACTATAATACAACCCATCAGATCTGTGGAGACAAACATGGGATTTCCCTTAAACACTGATGAGATTCTGCCAATCGCTACAGACTCAGGAAACAGGGATCCAGTGATCTTACCAGTGTTTGTTACAGAACTAGCAAAGTTTTCTGAGGCACAACAAAAGATCTTATGACTATTTGAGTCTAGCAGCAGATTGACAAATTAGCCAGGGGAGAGAACTAAAATGGGTGTTTATTATTTGAAAAAGTGACAAACATTGTTCTGGGTTGTTATATTCCTCATATAAAATTGTTGTGAAATGAAATCTACAACATGGTCTCTATTTTTGCTTATTTTGGCGTATTGTTACTACTCACCCCAGAATGTGTTACAACCTACCCCACAGAGCATGTGTGTTTTTGACATTAAGTCACAATTTACTCGCCATCTGCCTCGGCCGTCTTTCATTTCAACTTTTCTCCCCCTCCTTTTGATTCTGTCTGAGGCCGTTTTACTTTCAGCGAGTGTCCCTTGTCGGTTGTCAGTGCCAACGTTAACTGCTCCCTTTCATGACTTTTTATTCCTGATTCTGGCCTCGCTGCTTTCATTCCYGCTCGCCATGACTCAGCGGTGTCACTGTATGCTGATGGTTGTGAAAAGAACCTCCACAAAAAATTCTTTCTTTTCTTTTTCTTTTCTCTTTTTTTGACATGCAGGTTTTGCATTACAAGGATAACAGCTTTCCTTCAGCTCCTCCAAGATTTCAAAATTTGAAGTTAGAAATTTTAAGTGACAGTTTTTTTCTTCACATGTGGAGATGATGCCTCAAAGTAGGTTTCTGGCTATTTCTGAAACAATCTGATTATAAAGTGGAGAAAAAATACTTATTATATTTTTCTGAGTGGTTTTGACCTCTCCAAATCCAAAAAAGTCAACAATACAAAAGAAAAACTATTTCATAACCATCATTCTGTGTACAGACAGAAAAACATTCTGTAATACAGATCTCCTTCAAAGTCTTTTTATTACAAAAAATACAACAAAAATGATCTATATTTTTTCAACATTTAGAAGAAATAGTTTTCTTATGCACCATAACACATTTATAGACTTCTATAAATCCAACAAAGATATGTTATATATCATGGTTTCTGAACAACTAAGTTCAGATTTCTTAAAATATTAACTTAAACAAATGAAAATATTTTTCCTCCTTCATATCACGACTCTTTCAGATACATATGGAAGTGGTTTTAAGTCCTTTTGTATGTAAACTAAAATATATTGTTCCATCTCTGCTGTTTATATGTTGTTTAATCTGTCATTAAGGGTGCCCAAGCATAAACACTGAAGCACAAATCTTTGAAATAAAACATGCAAATTACACATCAAAACATCTGTCTTAATATGAAAYAGTGTGTTTTGACCTTTGGTAGCTGTACTTTGCACATTATAGACACAATTTGCAAGAAGCGGCACAAAAAAGTGTCCCAATGGCAACATATAGGATTTTGTCAAAAATAAATAAGACAACTCAGCCGACTTTGGAGCGCTGAAGCTCAAATTTCTTTCAGTCACAGTTTAAATGAGAAAGTTGGACCTGCATGTCTGAACTGGAACTTTGATATTTTTTATGGTTTTTATACAATCACAGTGTGATTTTTACAGGGTATGAAACAATCTCCCAACAACTGATGATATTTTAACTTTTTTAAAGGGCCGATATTATGTGTTTCTCAGGCATATATTTAAATACTATACCATAATAAAGTATCTATGTCAACTTTAGCTGTTATTAAAGTGCCATTTTTATGTTCAAATAGAATCTTCTCATCACTTCCTCTTCTAAACACCTTGAAATTGGCCTCTGTCTCTTTAAGAACTTCCTTCGCTTCTGTCACGCCCATTTCGGTGC